ACGGGAGATTCAATGAAATGACTATAAACACTTGAGAAAAAAGGAAGGAACAATAATCGAAATGGAGTCAACGTCATTATCTTTCATATATTAAGTCTCGACATTTTGAACAAAATTCAAAGAATTTTTCAATTTTTTTTAAAATTTCTCATTTTCTAACATTCTGCCTGGAAAAGATATATATAACAAGAATCTGGTTAGATGTGGCAAGATAAGAATCTTATCTGCAAACACCTTCCTGCCTCAACAGACAAGATAACGCTACGAGATCCTTGTCTTCTGATACAAGGTAGTGATTACAGCCAAGATTCCTATACGACGAGAATATGGGCAAGTCGCTTGCCCATAAAGGCAAGGAACAAGATTCTTGTCTGTGAAACCACAAGTTTCTCGACAGGTGACTTAAGGAATCAAAAGAAAGATATACTGAAATAATCTATAGATAGATGGATGAACGGATGAAAAAAAGTACAAATCACATTATAGTATTCACACTGTTACTAGAAAGGCGCTTACAGCGGTAGTTTCGCCCACATATATGACAAAAAAACATTTAAGAACGTAGTATCCAAATATGTAGCTCGCGCTGAATCCCGCTCGTGGAACATCGACTGGTGGATCGGCTCGTCTGAAGAAAAAGAAAGTCTGCTGGTGGCTCGGCTCGAACCTGATTCAGCTAGTTCGTGAGCGCGAGTCTACGAGCCGATTAGGTAGCTCACCCACTTCTGGTGTACAGGCAAAAAAAAGTAAAGTATATATATGTGTATAAACGACTATAAATGAAAGAGTTAAAAAGATGAATAAACTGTACGACAGCCTGACTAAGGAAAAGTAAAACGAAAAATAGTAAACAACAACGAAAAAAGGAAAATGGCAATGATTCAGCTAGTATAGGAGCTGGATAATAACAGTTAGGAGTACATTGAAAATGTTCATGCCGAAGAGAAAAAATTTCCTGAAACAGCTTTAGCCTACTATAAAGAAGCGGAAAGAATTCGGTTACCAGATCTTTATGTTCATCATTACGTCCAGTTGGCACCCACTAATATTGCCAGTGTCCATTATCATATGCGCTATACAGAATTAGCCCAACAACCAACACTTCAAGCGATAGATTAATTAAATTAGTCATTAAGGAAAAGTGATCCTTTATAGCTTGGTGTACCAATTAACAATTTTGGTGAACTTAATTTTAAACAAAGAAGATATGAGGAAGCTCATGAACGCTATTATTGTGCTGAACAGGTTTATTCGGAAAAACCTTCGACTGTAGTTAATACTTTCGAACTTGTAACAATATCAACCTTTTCGTCGATTAACGGTTGTGCAGAGCATTGCGGCAATCAACGATTTACCTTCACCCGTAGATATACAGCCTAATCTACCTTTATCCGATGCATTTGGATCTAAGAATATAGCTATTAATTGTATGTGTCTAGGATGATACTCATTATATAATTCAACCGCTCATGTTATTACTGACATAATTTTAGAAAGATATTCGTCATCCTATTCAGTATATTCTGGCCTAGAGTGTTTTCTTTTCTTAATTCATTAGCCCACTGTCGAATATTATCTTAGTCCAATCCTTAATGATCCAACCCGACAGTACATTAGAAATTTTTTAATTTTGTTTTGATACTCTTTAGTGTTCTTTCTTTTTCACTGAATCTCCCGC